AAATCTGGACCCCCCTTCCATACAAAAAATCCCCAACAATATATAAGAAGAAAGAAAGGTATGTGCATCAGTCCAGTTTGTTTACACTGTCTTCTTAGAAGTTTTTTTTTTAAAGTTTAAAACACGTCTTAAGAGAGAGGGCGTACAAGGTAAGGACAATCCCCCGCTCCAAGACAATATACGTATTTCTCAATTTTAAAAAAGCCCGGAAAAGTTTTTTTTTTTGAAATTCATTCTTTCATTTTGACGTGCTTCACGTTGTCTTTGTATAATTTTTTTTTACACATGCTATCAAATTGGTTTTGCATCTCATACCTAAATACTAATATTCCTGTCTATTTTGATTTTTGTCTTGAAGTTTCATTCGATTATATAAAATACATTTTAAGATATTAAAATAAATACAACTTCAGGTTTTGTCTTTCGCCGCACGGCAAGAATGTTATCGAAGTTATTATGATGTTACTTTTCGGCACCTGACGAACGATTGGTGTAACCCCCCCCCCCCCCCCCACTTCCTTCTGAGAATTTTTTAGACACGATAACCTAGTAAATATACATGAATTAAATACCGTATAGGGACAATCTCTTAAAATTAGCAATAACGGGGAAAAAAATATCAAATAACGAAGTATTCGTATTTTAGGCTAGGAATTCGTGTATTTTTGCTTAGTTATTGTGTCTAAAAAATTCTCTGAATGGGGGGGGGGGGGGGGTGTTGTTACAATGCACACCAACCATTTGTCAGGTACCTGTGATTTTCAGTTCATCCCCATCTTTTTAACCTCTCACGTGCTTTTTTTAACACTATTGCCATTTTGTGATACACCGTCGTATTTTTGGGTTGTTGTAATAAAATTATTTGAACTTTGTCCAAATATTATTTCTAAATTCATTCCTTTATGCGTAAATATTACGTTTCATTAGATTCAAAATGAGTGTCGAAGAGAAACATCAAAACGGCGTCGGTACATTCTTGCCGTGTGGCGATAGACCAGACCCAACGTTGTGTTTATTTTAATATCTTATAAAGTATTGTATATATCTCAATGAAATTTTAGGATAAAAGTCAAAATAAATAGAGGTATTAGTATATAGTTTTATTGTAAACTTTCGATTATTAAAGATTTTATAGCAGATGTGAGATTACTTTTGGATCCACCCTTGTATCTGCCCCATCACTCCTCCTCTCTGCTCCAGTTATACCAAAGGCCCTTAGTGTTCTCCACATGGCCTGTCCCACAAACCCGCTACACCCCAATTCTAAGTAACTACGAAAAACCAGACATTCCATCCACTTAGCTGGATTTTAGAACTTTAGTTTCCCAAAAAAGTTTGAAAAACAAACTATCGACATTTTTGTATGTATTCTTCACAGAAATTTACCTTTTTTAAATTTAAGTATATAATACAACTTTTTCCTCCAAATAAAATTATTCATATCAAAACATGCATGTAGCATCATTTTTCTTTAACATGCGAGAAAGAAGATCGAGGCAGTCAGAAAAATAATTGGCAAGCAAAAGGAAAAAATGTCCATTTCACAAAACCTATTTCACATATACATGTACAGGGGAAGAGAGGAAGTTCCCACTTTCATTTTAAGCAAAGTTTTGGGTACACTGACGTACATGTAGGAGATGGGAAGATTCGATCATTCTGCAACCCAAAAGGGGGGTAACCGACCTCTGATTGACAATATCAATAACAAAATTAACAGCAAAGACCATTTATTCTTAGGGAGAAAAATTGGGGCCTCCCATGCTCGGTAATACGTGACTGCACATCCCACTTAATTTCTTTAATATTTCTTTTTTCATTAAATTTCTTAAAAACTTAATAAAATATACCAATATGATTTTAATTTCACTTTTCGCCAATTGGTTCATATCTTCCTAAACCCGTTAAATGTATATCATTAATTTCATTAGATAAGAGTTTACATAACATTTAGAAATGGATTGAAATGACGTATAGGTAGTATAGTATATTGACCTACCGATGGTACTTGAGAAAAACAACCTACGCGAGAGAGGGTGTTAAAGAGAAGTGACCCGACAACTTTCAAACGTCTGCACGTATACATAAATGCGTAGGAAAATCTTATATATCATCAGGGAAAATACGTCTAAGCCTTCCGGCATCATTAATGCTATAAAAATAACACTTGATTTTTAACTTTGGTCCATTGTGGGTTATGGTGAATTCTGGAAATCCAAAAATTGCTTGCGAATAATAGAAACCTAGCTAGATTTTAATGATGAAGACATACAACTTATCGCATATCAACAATAACATATAATACAGAATAATAACAAAATAATTTTTGAGGCATAATATGGTGGGATTCATTTTTGTACGAATACGATGTCAATCTATTGTTTAACCCTGAATCCGTCCGTAACTGAACTTGTATATTCACATCAGAGCAGGGTTATTACTAGTGAGCAGTGGCTCACAGACTTCTTGTTTTGGGTGTGTGTGGGGGAGGGGGGGGGGCTTTCTCTAACTTTTTCGCACAATTTTTTTTAAAATGCTCAAAATTGCCAGTGTTCGACTCCAACGGGGGGGGGGGGGGGAGCTTCCAATTGAAAATTTACATGATAGTAATACCACATCAAAAGCAATTCTCAGGAAAAGGGGTGCGTCTCCCCTGCCCCCCCCCCCTCCCGTAAAAAATAATCAGTCTTAAAACAGCCGTATGGAAAATTGTCCATTCAATAGCAGAGCTTTTTTTTGTCAAACAGATGACGCGAAAGCACTAGAGTAACGTATTTAACAAAATTAAATATATATGTACGAACATTATGCAAGAAATTATTCAAGACTGGAAAAATACCAAATGAAGAGAAACTTTCAAAGTGGGTTCTTCCACCAATGAATGTACCATGATTTTTCAGATCAATGATACCCCCCCCCTCCACCCCCCCCCCCACCCACCCTGTTTCCTAGGGGCCTGTGAACGATTAATTTCAAGGGAAAGACGGTTATGCAAGCATTTGTGATGTATTAAGGGGCAATTACGGAACTGAAAACGAGACCAACCATTATGAATCATTATTTATTTTAACATTTAATTGATGAATCAAAATGTTTGGAAACAAGTTCTTACAACTTTTAATACTGATTTATCTCCATAAATATTAAAAAAATGTCATGCAAAATAACTCATAGAAATGTAAAATTTTACAAATAATAGATATAAAAATTCTTTTTCTAAAATAACAGCAATTCAAAGTTACAGGTTTCATCGGTAAATTTATGGACAACAGCAAAAAATAGTGGTATTAATTAGTAATAACGAGTTTGTATTCATCAAGCATAGACAGTCTTTTTAATAGAAATATGGAAATAAGAAATAGTAATCAAACTCAAGAGTCCATTGAAACATTACAAATCGGGAACAGAGGAAACACGAACCTCTAAAAGCATCAGGGATGAGATCAGGTGCCATGGGGGAGCAAGCATCCCCTTTCTACCAGTCACACCCGCCTTGTGCTCCTTGTCATGACAGTGCAAATGGAAAAACACGTAGATAATTCAGTATGTAAATAATAACCGAAGAATTAGTATGAAAAACGTCAGTCAGCATTTGACTAGATAGATGATATATTGTATTTGTTGACAAGGAAATTGTAATTTAAGTTTTTAATAGGGAATAAATTGACTGAGATGGCTTCTTTCACTTCTGGTTTTAAAAAATTCCACGGTTTCAAAGCATCTGATACAAAAGATTTTTTGAATAATTCTCGTCTACATCCTTGAACAATAACTGGTCTCTATTACGGGAATTTTAGTTCAACACATTTTCATGCTTGTATGGGACAAAATCAAATATTCAGGAACATCCCCTACACATATGTAAATTTTGAACAGAGTAAAATGTCATTTTTGCAATATGGAGCCTGGAATTTAAAGTTTCTCGAGTTTCATGTAAAGTGTATCTATAGATACTAAAATAGGAAGTCATGTGATAATCACTTTTTGAGCTTTTCAGCATCCTATATAAAGCAGCCATCGAAAACAACATCTATTAGGTATATTCAAGCACACGTCTGTTGTCTAATAAATGTAGTGTACAATTTTGAAAAGATTATTTCTACTTAGTTTACTTTCTAATTTATTTAAGCCCTAGTTTTTAAAGCAATATTTACAATATACCATCAGTATATTCAGACAAGCTAAGATTTTGTGACAATGATAACCCAAGTGACGATGGGATGTAACGCATGCCATTCTGTTGACTTTAAAAAAATAAGTTAGGTATAACAGCAATATTTTTAACATTGAAAGAAAAACCTTTGTTTTAGATGGGTTCACCGTTGAAATTATGTAGCCACTTATTCAGCCATACTTCCAAGATATGTAAATCATGATTGAAGTTGTATTCAGTATCTAAAAATACATTGTATGAAGATTGTTGAAGCGAACTGTCATCAGCAAACAATCTACATATTGATAACATAATCATAGCAACATCATTTAGATACATCAAAAATAAAAGTGGCTACAAAATAGAACCATGGGTAAACCTGTAAATATAGTTTTAATGATAAGAAATCCTTATACATTATTTGTGTGACCTATGACTTAGATAACTCGAAATTATTGCTTGAAAAAATAAACAATTGTACACATGTTTAAAAATACTAGTAATTCGCTCATTGAATCATTGATGATAGGGGAGGACCGAGTATGTTGGTATGTAGCCGTAATTCGCTGGAATCTTTGTTTTGTGATTTCCCAACCATTAGCTACATGTACCTGTTAGGTATATCTGTGAATTAATACCTCATATTTTTGCCAAGATTTCCGTGGAGCATAACGCAGTAAGAGTAGAATCTCTGTAGTTTGGTTACTTGGTGTTTGGTTGTTTTCTTACTGAGTCACAAAGGATCTCCTTAAAAGTCATTTGATATAGACATTAAAATGTGTTTTCCGCATGTCTATTGCACTGTGAAATACAATGCCATGAATTTACACGAAATAAAAATTGAATACTCAACAACATTTCTGTTTATTAATTCTTAATTAACACGTTTTATAAAATGTCCTTGAATAATCCTTTTTACATAACAAAGTGTGTAAAAGGTTTTTGCCTAGTTCGATGTGAATACCCTATGAACCATGCTCTGCAACGAACTTGGCTATCATTCTATCTGTCCAGCTGTCACTTGTCTTAGCCAGTTTTCGTTCACTCAGCAGCATCCTATAAGAAAACCTAATGTGATTTAGTCTGTCTGAATATCAAGTTCAAGTTCTCCCTGATAAGATCTGCAAAGCTCATACAATTGCCTAAATTTTTTGTCAACACACAAGAGTCAACATAAAGTTCATCGTTTACTTACCTTCCCAGTCGACGGTTCTTAGTGTTTGAGGACCTTAAGGCAGCATTTATCAAGATCTGGTTAAAGACATCCCGCTACAGTTTCAGAGAGAGAAAGAAAAAAGAAATTTTCATTTAAAGTTGAATACATTTTCAAAGTAAAATTTATCTTGATACAAATTTAAAAAAATCAAGCCTCATTAATGAAGGTTATCATTAATGAACGTAAAACATGAGGATAATGAACAATGATCATTCTCATAAATTCAGTAAACAAAACGAATCGTTAACGGGGCAAAACACGGACCCATGGAACAGCCGAGATGGGATCTGACCCCGGGGCCATAAAACTTAGACGAGCTCACTTTTGATCTCAATCTCACTTTTCCACTATTAATTCCTCTGGTAAAAGTGAGACTGAGATCAAAAGTGAGCTCGTCTAAGTTTTATGCCCCCGGAGCCAGGTGCCTGCACGAATGAGAAGACTCTGATAATCGTTTTCAGTGAGTGACACAAAGCCTCAAATTGAATGTGCAAAAAAGTTGCTAGGATCACATTATCACAGACCTTGTATTCCAAATCTGTAAAATGTAGATCACTTTTACCTGTTGCAGCAAGTATGAAAATGCGTTTCCCCAAAATGTTTCATATAGATAAATACTGGTAGAGTTTATGATTCCTAAGTTAAAGCTGAACACGACTCGTAAATAGGCATACGCCATTTCGATATTATATCTACGATACATCAACACCAGGGTATACTCTTCGCATTCGTTACACCTGACTGTTTTATTGTCACGGGTATCGGCGTGGAATGGCGACCCGTGTTCGAGCTGGTTATCTTGCAATACCTTTGTTTACATTTTATTGTAGTTACGTGTATCTGTGTTTGTTTGTATAATGCACTAACCTGTACAACTATAATTGTAAGTTTCTTTTGTATCTACTTTCCTGCATTAGACGAGGTATTACAGTTATTTTTGAGTGCTGTGTAGCATACGTCCGCCTACACCGGTGTCGACTGATCATACTGAACAGTGTCCAAGTCAGGCCCTTTATATAGGGGTCCTCAGATATAGCGAGAATCCGAACAAAAATGGCGGACACATTGCTTTTACGAATCATGTTCAGCTTTAAGACACATTGCCCGATGCACGCCTCTGTGGTTCAGGTAGGGCCTAAAAATAATTGGAAACTGGATCTCCTAAAAATAGGTGGCCACTCGTCCGGAAAATGAATGTTTTATAGAGAATCCGAAGCAAGTACATGTATGGTTACCGTAGTAAGTAACTGAGTTGCATTATTCAAGCACTTTGGTCAAGGTAATGCTTTCAGAATTTGGGAACGGTCAGTGGTCTGGTAAATATAGGTAAGATGCAGCATTCAAAGCAATGGTAGTACTGTGCATCTATGACTGCATCACTCATGCGTATTTGATATCACCGGAGATTATATACGTGTAGTTACTCAAAAAATCGGACACCTTCTCCGGGAATATAGCATAAGAGTACACGACTTAGTTAGGTGAGCTAAAAAAGAAATCAAAAAGCTAATTCCTAAACTTTTATGCTTCTATTTCCTTTACAGTAACCGTCACAGTAGCTCATTCGGTAGAGCGCTCGTTCCGGGGATCCATGATCGGAAGATCCAGACCCCCGTGGAATTTTTCAGAGTTATTAAATTTCTACGTAAAAGTAACGAAAAAATGACTTTAGACACACACACTCCTCATTCATTTCCACTTGGAATTTTAGCGGTGAGAATTCCTACAATGGATGCTAGATGTTACACATGTAAGTGGCGACAAATCAAGCCTCTAGCATTACCTGTGCATTGCTGGGGTACATTACCTGTGCTTGGCTGGTGTACATTACCTGTGCTTGGCTGGGGTACATTACCTGTGCTTGGCTGGACTACATTACCTGTGCATGGCTTCCCCCGATTCGTATGACGTTGTAGCGTAGTGGGTAGAGTAAATCAGTAGCTTTGTCATGCTCCCCATTCTCAAAGGCCAGTATCCCTTCACAAAGAGGAATGCCAACCTCTTTTACTACAGTTTTATTGTCCCACATTTCACTATCTCTATAATAAAAATTTTAACATTATGTTCTGTACATGTATGCAGCAATGACGAGGGATACACTGTCATTACATGCATAACATCATTTTGATTTAAAATTGTGTCAAACTGATATCATTATTTTATTCGATGCAATAATCTGATATCATAATTATTTAATATTGTAAGTAATACCTGTTGTTGTAGTTTTATAGAATGTAATATCCCAATACTGTGATTTAATGCAATAACCCGATATAATTGTGATTTACTGTAATGTAATAACCCATTTATTATGATTTAGTTTAATGTAATGCAATTACTACAATACATCTTACCAAGTCAAGGGTTTCTGATCCATCCCGCTCCACATTAACTCCCCAAGTCAAGGGTTTCTGATCCACCCCGATCCACATTAACCCTTGATCGAATAGACTAAGTTTGATGGGGTTTACTGTCGCGCTATCTAGTGAGATTACACATTTTCAACTCCACTGACCTCTGCTATTGGCCAACCAGAGTAAGCGAATTAAACAGAAAATTCGAGACAATATTGGAAGTCGGTAATTAATTCAATATAACTCAACTAAAAAGCTGAGACAAAACTTTAACTGGGCCATTTACTGAAAATGACGTCATCGTTGGAACTTAAGCTGGCGTGTTTTTCTGTTTATGATTTAGTTTCAGGTTAAATAAAACAATGTTTCTGATTGGTCATGCAAACTTGCATGAGGCCAATCAGAGAGCGCATTTCTAACCCCGTCAAACCTAGTCTATTCGTTCAAGGGTTTATGTGGAGCGGAGTGGATTAGAAACCCTGGACTTGGGAAGATGGCTACAATAAATCTGAGCAATTACCTACTTTACATATTCTTTCAAAGACTGAAGCTGTTTTTCTTTTATGCTTTTGTCCTCATCACAACAGCTTTTCAGAAACAGATGTGCTTCAGTGAACATCTGACCGTGTCCAAACATATACACACCACTTGTCTCATCTAACACAGACGAACGGTTGCCCACCTCAACTCCTAGATATTTAAACCAAAAAAATGAGTGGAGATAAAAACAAAGATAATTATTCAACTGTGTAATTGTTTTAATGAAGTAATATTAAAATCAAAATAGAAAGTGGAATCTTTACTGTTTTTGTCACAATGATCAATCAAGGACCTATAAACTATACTTAGTATACAGGTCCCTGGATCAATGCAAGACAAATTTAATGTTTCAGTTCCATCAAGTTGTTCAGTTTCTAAAGCGGTTTTACTCCATAATAAACCACTCGTTATATTTAATTACTGATAGGTTTGTAAGACTAACAATTGAAAAACAAATTGTTAGGATTGCTTTTATATCAAATCAGTTATAATGGACATTGAATGATTAAGTCGGTTGATTACCTTCCAGTTTTAGCCTGTACAGCAAATGCGCGGCATCGGTTAAATTGAAATCACTTTTAGATCTTTGTGTTCGGACTCCAACCTACCAAATATTTATACTTAAACGTTGACGTAGTGAAGTTTTTCCAACAAGGTTCAAATATTCTCATATCTTTTTTCTCTTACATATTTTATTTACAAATTAATGCTTCCTCATATTCTCACCTGTGAATCAAATATTTCTAATGCCGACCTGAAATCTCCCTATATAAAATGACAAAAAAATAATATACATGTACATGTGTAAACATTTATGATCAACTTCTCTTACTTCTACCTAGATCGTGTTTATAGGTATTTTTTTTTTTAACTCACCTGAACCGAAGGCTCAAGTGAACTATTCCGCCGTCCGTCTGTAGTCTGTATACTTTTCACATTTTCCACTTCTTCTCAAGAACATTGGGGCAATTTCAACCAAACTTGCCATAATGTATTCTTGGGTAAAGGGGATTCAAGTTTGTTCAAATGAAGGGCTACGCCCTCTTTCATGGGGAGATAATTAAGAATTAGTAAAAATTTAAATCTTCCACTGGACCTTAAGTGAAAGCTTTATTGCATAGTGTAGACTCAAACTAGTTCAAATCATGACCCCCAGGGGTAGGGTGGTGCCACAATAGCCGATAAAAGTTTTCCACTGGAATATACAGGAAAAATCTTTAACAATCTTCTTCTCAAGAACAAAGAAGTTATGATTAATCATATTTATATGGAAGTATTCTCAGGTAGCGTAAATTCAAATTTGATCAATTCATGCAGATTTTTTAAAATATATGTACATATATGAGCCCTGTGGTTAGAGTTTAGTTTAAATCAGAGATCTAAATTTTACATGCATGTGTAGAGGGAAAAAATCTTCTCCAAAACATCGTTTTAATATTTGAGCATCGCAATGCTTTGTTGATTTAACTTAAAATAAATCGTAACTCCCTTAGGTCTAAATTTTGATTCAAAACATGGAGTAAAAATATTTATGAATTAAGGTAAGCCATCCCTAATAGTCTTGGATTCAATGACATTAAATACACAGCAGATATGTAGGGATAGCATACTTAGGATATTCAATATAATTCTCATTTATTACTATCAGTGTGTAAGAGTGGAGTGTGTCCTAATTTATGACCTTGACCTTTCATTGAGGAGTTACCTCCCTCTGTTTTTAATCAATAAAAATCAATTTAATCTTAAAAAATCTTTCTGGTTAAAAAATGCATTTAATTTATTGAATGATATTCTTATTACCGTGTTTGAATTTTTTTATTTTTAAAAAAATTGCTTGTCTTCATACATGTATGCTTCACTTCAATCTTCGTTGATTTATTACTGTTTAGGTAAATACATTTTGAAATTCTCTCTCTGTCAATCCTTTTGTACTCTAAAATGCTTTAAATTATTATCATTTTATCATACATGTGTATGTGATTGACATTTAAGGATAAAGAATTAGGTCCTATTCGTGATGGAAAACCTTAGAGGAAATTTTTGAAAAAAAAATTATGTTTGGCTAAAGTGACTCAGATGAGCATTGTGGCCCACGGGCCTCTTAATTGAAATAGTATGGGATAAATATTGTAGTTTTAAGATATTTTAACACTTTTGATAATAATACAAGTTAGAATGATAACTACCTTTTCAGCATGAAAGATTCCTACATGCCAGTAATTGTGACAGGCAAGAAATTCGCATCGCTGTAATATACAAGTACAAATTAAGTTCTGAACTTATTAAAAGAAAATTCAAATTATGTTAGTTATCGACAATTACATGCCCATGTAAACATGATACATACGTTCCAGTCGCTCTCGGTTGACAGCATAAAATTAATTCCTTTGTCATGCATTCCCTGCATCAAATACACATGTGATAAAGTGTGAGATGCATAGGTCTCGTGGCGTTCTAATTCCAGGCTCTGAAATCGTATAGTTAAACTGAACAATAAGTAACAGATCTTCCATTAATTGCGTCTTTTTCATCTTTAGTATATTATTATCATTATATCCGGTCAAACCCCCTGCGTTTACGTTTTCCTTTTTCTCCTTAATTAAAATTTTAAAATTCACCGTTCCATAAACGTGTATTTTGTTTCAGTAAATTTTTACCTTCTTTGCAACTTTTTCTGCAAGGTCATAGTAATTATTTTCTTCCAAACAGAATGCTTGCCAACCCAGAACCGTACTGTTTAAACAAAAAGGAAAGGGCAATTATAAATGCTGCTTTAAAAACAAGAGACCCATGGGCTACAATGCTCACCCGACAGACCTTGGCTCTGTTGAATCTTGAATTCACATGATCCACATGACTTAATGTTAACTTAAGTTTGTATATCTTTTTAGTTCCTCCTGTTAATTTCAACTTTCTATGTATTCTCCTGTACATTTTTAATGCCTATTTTAACTCGCCCAGGGAGTAATGATTTCAACAAATATGAATCTGTTCTAAATTTAGTTGTTTGCGTATTGGTATGAGTAATCATGGTCGAAGAGGATTTTAAATATTTTCCTATATATTTCATCTAATATTTAATCCCTAATTGAGGCCCCAACTATTCCCAGGACCATTATCTGCAATACCTGAAGATGACTTATCTAAGTCATGACCCAGTGGTTCTTGAAAAGGATATTTTCCTATACTTTGGTGTAAAACTTTGAATCCTCTGTTCTGTTGTTTCTTATTTCTTATAGTAATTATCTTCCCCTTTAAGGGGGATG